CAACAATATGGATGACTGTATGTTACACACTGAGTGCGTTTGATTATTTTCCCCAGCTTACTCGCGCTTGGCTCGCGTGATGACAGACATGCGCAGTGGAGCTAAATAAACGAACGGTTCCGGGTTAAGTTTTGTGCAAGGAGCTGGAAAGTTGAACTTTGACATGACACTGAGGCTGCATCCGAATCAAGTGTCTAGAGCTAGGTCTAGCTCTGCGCCCACTGAAAATAGCGGCGGGTACGCACTGACAATAGACGTAGCCGTGGCTCTGGAAGCCTGTTTCGGACACGGCCTGAGGCGCCCGCCGAACATCACGTTGGCAGCCGTGTTCATTGTATGGCCTTATGGGATACTTACCCAAGTAACTGGCTCGGTGAGTCGGTTACTTGGGCCAAGCTTGAGTAAGCACGAGAAGTCACGTGAGAGGTAAATCGAATGCTGTCGTGCTTGCACGAGTAAGCGTGGGGGAAGTAATCGAACGCACTCAAATTAAGCAAAGCTTACCTGAATAACCCTTAAGCACTGAAGAAAGATCTTTTGCTGTTAATCCCTCAACCGTTTTAAAGTACAGTATGATTTTCTCTTCAAATATGAAAAGTCTTACTTTGCAGTACTTCGAGTCTGTTTCATCCCTGTGAAGCACCAGCAAGGTAGTGATGTGTACTTTGTGCGGTTCTTCTCTTGGGCCGCATAGTGCTTCTCAAGGGAGCTCTGTTCTGAGTCTGTACCATCCCTGCGAAGCACCAGCAAGGTAGTGATGTACTTGGTGCGGTCCTTCTCCTGGGCCGCATAGTGCCTCTCAAGGGAGCTCTGTTCTGAGTCTGTACCATCCCTGCGAAGCACCAGCAAGGTAGTGATGTGTACTTGGTGCGGTCCTTCTCCTGGGCCGCATAGTGCCTCTCAAGGGAGCTCTGGTCTGAGTCTCTTCCATCCCTGCGAAGCACCAGCAAGGTAGTGATGTGTACTTGGTGCGGTCCTTCTCCTTGGCCGCATAGTGCCTCTCAAGGGAGCTCTGTTCTGAGTCTCTTCCATCCCTGCGAAGCACCAGCAAGGTAGTGATGTGTACTTGGTGCGGTTCTTCTCCTGGGCCGCATGGTGCTCCTCAATGGAGCTCTGTTCTGAGTCTCTTCCATCCCTGCGAAGCACCAGCAAGGTAGTGATGTACTTGGTGCAGTCCTTCTCCTGGGCCGCATAGTGCTTCTCAAGGGAGCTCTGGTCTGAGTCTGTTCCATCCCTGTGAAGCACCAGCAAGGTAGTGATCGATGTACTTGGTGCAGTCCTTCTCCTGGGCCGTATAGTGCTTCTCAAGAGAGCTCTGGTCTGAGTCTGCACCATCCCTGTGAAGTATCAGCAAGGTAGTGATGTACATGGTGTGGTCCTTCTCTTGGGCCGCATAGTGCTTCTCAAGAGAGCTCTGGTTTGAGTCTGTTCTAGCCGTGAGAAGCAGTCCTTCTCCTGGGCCTTATAGTGCTTCTATAGTGCTTCTCAAGAGAGCTCTCTGATGTGAAGTGAGCTGGTAGATCTGCCATCACCTGGTCAAGAAATTTGAATATTGTCAATTTGGGAAAAAATGTTTGATACTGATTGAGAGATTTACTTGTATTCATTATTAGCTATCCTGCAAATTCGAGTGGAACAAGGTTAAAAAAAAATAGGTTAACCAGTTTGCATCGGATAACGTGTATACAAACAAAGATTTTGCGGTATTCGTAGCGGATGACAGATGAACAAGCAATGATAGCTGAGTCCTATAAATACAGATGTCAAATTGGTTCAGAGAACTCTTAGAGTTTTTAAGAATAAATTATTGTTTCACTGAAGAAGAAGTGTCTTTGCTCCCTTATTAGTCCCATCCTTGTAGATAGGATAGGATGCCTGGTTATATATCTTTGATACAAACGAATCCGGGAAATATAAATTTATAGTGACTTGGCATCATTACATCTTGCAAGGTGACAAAAGAAAGTCCTGAATAGCGCCCTCTACCCCACCTCACCCGGCCGCAGCATTACATGACAAAAACAATGAAACAAGCCCATTGGTTTTAGTTTAAACATGCCTTAGACCTTACTCCATATTTTTTATACAATTTCCTTAAAACATAAGTAGTAACTATCAAAGGTTATTAATATCACTCAATCTGAAAATAAAAAGAAAACAAAAATCCCCCACTTGCATTATTGTCCATTCAGCCATAAAAAATCGTTGTGCGTCAATTTTGATCTGTTAAGTCAATTTCTTTTTTTTCTTTAAAATTTTCTGTAGCTACAACAGTGCCCTTTAGTGCTGCACCGCCTCAAATATTTAGCACTAAGGAGCACAAGGGCACCAAGGCAAATGATAGGGCACCAAGTCAAATGATGTAACACCATATGAGAACTCAAACAAACAAAGCAGTACCACTTTGCTATTTTTTCCCAAGCTTGGATGGTACAGACAAAGAATATTTTTTTAAACGCATCACTAGTTTGAATTCAATTTAATACCAAATTAGTGACTCTCAACAGTATAGTTATGAACTCACAGTCTGTTTGATGACGGAATTTTTGTTACAACTTCCACATGGTAGTAGATTAAAAGGCGACTACAAAATACTTCAGTCTTTGTAAAAAAAAAAAAAATAGTTGACTTGATCAAAGTTAGTTATTGTACATGTACAAGTGCGATTAGGCCTAAACCTTTTTTTTCCTGAATCTTTTTTCTTAAAGTTGCTAAATGAAAGCTGTAATCGAGAACAACAAATCTGTTGGTGAACACACAATTGGGTGTTAATTTGAATTTGTTGTTAGGTTTTTCAAATAGACCTACAAACGCTGTGGTATAATAGCTGATTATGCTTTTTACCTCCTTACAAAAAATTGCTGATCCAAATGCGTTGCTGATAATGTTGGGATAATATTCTGGTTGTTTACAAGTTTTGTTTGGGTGGCTTGATTTGGTCGATCTTGTAGCTTGGATCATGTCCCTCGAGCCAGTACGTCAGACTTTCACCTTTGCCCTGAAATAAAAGAAAGAAAAAAGATAAGAGATTGATTGAAACAGATATCTCATGTTTCCTTTGAAATATGATGGACTTGAGAATCTGCAGCAGTGAAAATTGAAGGAAGGGGAGATCATTTGTCATTTGTGATGTTTTTCCATTTGAAGCAACAAACGTGCTCAAAATCTAAAGATAAGTGCTTAACAACTACCCCAAATGAAGTTAAAGATATGTGAATGCTGTGTTTTCGGAGGAAACAATATTCTAGGATCTCAATTTCTATTCAAAAGTTGCCGAGACACGTTTGTTCTCATTCAGCTGATTGAAGCTTTGCAATGTTGCACACTAAACCGCTGAATGAGTCATGTCAACGCTTGTGCACACCCATTCACAGATTAGTCCGATCACAAACCAACTAAACGAAAACTTCCAAAAAATGTGTCATTTGACACACTATTTAGAAATGGCCTTCTTTTATTGTGTTCTTCACAATGACAACATGTAATTGCCAGAGAGAATAATTTCACAGGCAGTCCGACTAGCTGTACTAAGGGTTGTTTTTCTATTTTTATAGTAATTTTCCTACTTGGGTCTCGGTCCTTTGTGGCTGGACTCTGATGTTCTCATAGAGCTATATTAAAGTACTAGGGATGTACTTGTGATGTCCTTGTGACTAGACTTGTGATATATGCTTGTGACTGGACTTGTGATGTACTTGTGACTAGACTTGTGAAATACTTGTGACTGGACTTGTGATGTACTTGTGACTGGACTTGTGATGTACTTGCCACCAGACTTGAGATGAACTTGTGACTGGACTTGTGATGTACTTGCCACCAGACTTGTGATGTACTTGTGACTGGACTTGTGATGTACTTGCCACCAGACTTGCGATGTACTTGTGAACAGACTAGTGATGTACTTGTGACTGGGCTTATGATGCACTTGTGACTGGACTTGTGATGTTCTTGTGACTAGACTTGTGATGTTCTTGTGACTGGACTTGTGATGTACCTGTGACTAAACTTGTGATGTACTTGTGGCTGGACTTGTGATGTACTTGTGACTAAACTTGTGACTTACTTGTGACTAGACTTGTGATGTTCTTGTGACTAGACTTGTGATGTTCTTGTGACTAGACTTGTGATGTACTTGTGACTGGACTTGTAATGTACTTGTGGCTGGACTTGTGATGTACTTGTGACTAGACTTGTAATGTACTTGTGGCTGGACTTGTGATGTACTTGTGACTAAACTTGTGACTGGACTTGTGACTGGGCTTATGATGCATGTGTGACTAGACTTGTGATGTACTTGTGACTGGACTTATGATGTACTTGTTACTGGACTTATGATGTACTTGTGACTGGACTTGTGATGTACTTTTGCCTGGATTTGTTATGTACTTGTGATGTACTTGTGAATGAACTTGTGACTGGACTTGTGATGTACGTGTGACTAGACTTGTGATGTACTTGTGACTGAAATTTTAATGTTCTTGTGACTAGACTAATGATGTACTTGTGACTAGACTTGTGATGTACTTGTGACTGAACTTGTGACTGGACTTGTGATGTACGTGTGACTAGACTTGTAATGTACTTGTGACTGAAATTGTAATGTGCTTGTGACTAGACTAATGATGTACTTGTGACTAGACTTGTAATGTACTTGTGACTGGGCTTATGATGCACTTGTGACTAGACTTGTGATGTACTTGTGACTGAACTTGTGACTGGACTTGTAATGTACATGTACTTGTTACTGGAACTGTAATGAACTTGTGACTAGACTTATGATGCACTTGTGACTGGACATGTGATGTACCGGGTACTTGTGACTGGACTTGTGATGTACTTGTGACTAGATTTGTGATGTTCTTGTGACTGGACTTGTGATGTACTTGTGACTGGACTTGTGATGTATTTGTGATTTATCAATCTTAAGTATCTCGACCACAAGCAAAGACAATGATCTTACCTGAGTGAATACCGATGAGGAGTTTGAGTTTCTCATCTTGTTTGTGTGGCATGATCAACTATCAACGCCCTCCAGGAGATGCCATGCAGCGGAGGCGATCATACCAGCATGACGGCTGCCATTACGGATCAGTAGGCAAGAGACCAACATGTAGGCATCGTCGATGCTTTCAACCTTGGCAAGATGTTATTATTTAACACTGGTTAATTTTGCTTTCAGACATTATAATAGAACATACATATTTGCGTGGTTTTTGCCTGAACTAGTAACCATGGTAGCATCAACTTAACCTCTGAGTGATTGTCATGACTACGCCTGCGAACAGCCGAGTAATGTTGACAATGATAATGCAAGTGACTTTTTGTAATTATATCACCGCACCCACAGATTCTGTGTTTTTCAGTGGCCGAGAGTGTGCATCACATAGTATTTGCTATTTTCTGTCTACATGTACATGGCTAAAAGGACTATGGCACCCTCCATTTTAATACTGACTACTTTGAGTGGCATAATCAAACTACCGGTAGCCTCCTAGACCTGTTTTATAATACCACTTGAAGCAGTCAATATGCAAGACTACAAATTATAAGCATAGCTTGTAAAGTACTCTGAAAGTAAAACAGATCTAAGATGGTAGAATCAAGCCAAGCAGTAACGGGTAAGGTGCTTTCTGTCAATGTATTGTTGATCATTTCATGTTTGCATATTAACCATAATAAATGAACTTGGATAAGTGTACTAAGTATAATCTATTGCAAGTACCCTTTAAAATAACTTCCTGTGATATGGCACGTTTGGCTTAACCAGTTCACATCAGACAACGTGTATACACGCAAGGTTTTGCGGTAATCGGAATGGATGATGGATAAACACGCAAGCGAGGCCTAAAATGTCTGTCAGTGGCCCGCTTGCAGCGAGCTACCCGTAGATGACAGCCTGAAGCCGTCTGGCATCCAGATTCATGAAAACAATCCCAAGTCTTGGTCTGGTCAATGTCAAAATAGTCCAGCGCGAACTGGTTAAAACAATCTGCTGGGTCGTATGGAATATTTACCTTGTAGACGTCATAGTTGGAAATGATGGCGTCGAACAGCGTGTGCAAGGCATTCAACAAGTTAACAACCTGGAAAGTTAAGAACAAGACGTAAAGGGTAACTCTGGTGACACTATTGGTTTGCGATAATCTGAGTAGACAATTTGGTCAAATTTGAGTACATTTTTGATAATACATTGTAGTATATACATTTTGAACTTAAGCCGCCTTTGAGCAAGGGCGGATCCAGAACACAATTTTTTACTGTTTTGGTCCCCCCAAAAAGAGGGTCAAAAAAATTACGGCGTGGGGTTCGTGGCCCCTTAACATGCTTGAGGGCCCCGAAAATGTTTTTGATTGTAGATACTCTGTGGTGCGATCCGAGGCAATTTCTGACCACTTTAACCAATGTTTTTTTTTTAGGAAAAGATGGTGGTGTACTCATTGCCTGCCTTTATTGCGATGTCACATTAAAAAAAAAAAAATTGGTTTCATTTTTTTTTGGGGGGGGGGCACGGAGAGACTATGGGTACTTTTTCCCATTTTAAGTCCAGTGCGGACAGCCTAGGACATTTTCCTCTCGGTTACTTTTCCCGAGTCCAGCGGTTACTTTTACTGGCCAACTGCTGCCCAGGAAAACTTCCCACGGGCCCAGGAAAACTGACCAGGTCACTTTTCCCGAGACGATAAGTCCAGTGCGGACAGTGCGAGTCGGTAAAAGCGGCTCAGGAAAGCGTACATCCGGCCCGAGCGCCCTGTTATGCATACAGGAGACCACACGAACCTGCCGCGTGCAGTGGCCGAACATTTTGTAGAAACACGCTGCGGTGTATCATCAAGTTCGAGCGGTAAAATCTCGTTAAAATATATATTTCAACGGACAAATACATACACAGAGAAGAGAGATCACGTTCTGAGAATTAATTTGCGGAAATTCTCTTTCTCTACCGATGTATGTTATTTTCTACGATCCAAATTCGTCCTGATACGCTACTGTAGTCATGCACGGAACATCATGGTCCGGTACCGTACGTAGGCCGTAGTCACTGGTTCCTGGCCCACATCATAGCTTTGATTCTGTAAGCATGCGATGGGAACCAACGAATACTGATGGCACTGCTGCCGCACGGAACATCGTACAGCGGCATGGCTTCGACGACGTGCATCACAAATGCGTCAGAATTATATGCCTTTTCGTCAAGATTTAGCATGTCAAGATGAAATAATATCGTGTAAACGATTATGTTGTGCATGCAAATGGCGTGCGTATCGGCGGCTGAAAATGTGATCGGCAATTTGTTTTCTGTGTACGGTGAGTCATTTTACTGACACTGTGACAGCTCGGTTACTTCTCCCACGCGGTCTGGGTAAATTTTCCCGTGTCGAAAGTCCAAGTGCGGACAGTGGTCACATTTGACCATTTCTCATTTTACCATCGTCTCGGTAAAACCTTCCAAAAAAAAAGTCCAGTGCGGACACGGCTTTAGCCTTTTACGGTCACCCACTCACCCGCTCCCCCGGTCAATGTTGTTCTCTCCAGCTGATGGAGCACACACCGCGCAATGAGAGACAACATTGACAGGGTGGGGGGGGGGGGGGGGGGGCAGCGAGATTTGGCCAGGATTCAATCGCGGCCAAAATGGTTGGGACACTTGGAAATAACCTTAGCCTTTCACGGTCACCCACTCCCCCGCTGCTCCCCCGGTCAATGTTGTTCTCTCCAGCTGATGGAGCACACACCGCGCAATGAGAGACAACATTGACAGGGGGCGGGGGGGGGGGGGGGGGGGGGGGGGGGGGGGAGGGGGGGGAGGGGGGAGGGGGGGGGCAGCGAGATTTGGCCAGGATTCAATCGCGGCCAAAATGGTTGGGACACTTGGAAATAACCTTAGCCTTTCACGGTCACCCACTCCCCCGCTGCTCCCCCGGTCAATGTTGTTCTCTCCAGCTGATGGAGCACACACCGCGCAATGAGAGACAACATTGACAGGGGCCGGGGGGGGGGAGGGGGGGAGGGGGGGGGGCAGCGAGATTTGGCCAGGATTCAATCGCGGCCAAAATGGTTGGGACACTTGGAAATAACCTTAGCCTTTCACGGTCACCCACTCACCCGCTCCCCCGGTCAATGTTGTTCTCTCCAGCTGATGGAGCACACACCGCGCAATGAGAGACAACATTGACAGGGGGCCGGGGGGGTTGGAGGCCCAGCGAGATTAAGCCAGGATTGTAGAGGCAATTTTGTAAAATTGTAACGAATGGATTTTAAATTCAAACATTCCATCTATCTTTTGACGTACCGCTAGAGGTCGCCCTTTCGTGTAATTATGTCATCATGACAATGTTTTTGTTGGACATTCCTCACTAAATATTTGCATAATTTATATAACTGTAGCAAAATGCTTCCGTCTTCAAGTTATATTTAATTATCATTGCACTTCCGGTTACACCGGAAGTAAAGGTCAAATGGTTTGTGCCTGGGAATAAAATATATTGCCAGTGGCAATGTCTGAAACAACAAAAAATTAGAACGCTACTCTGTTCCGTTATAAAGTTATAATTAAAAGTACAATGTAAGTTCTCAAAATTTGATGTTAACCCGCTTGCTCGGGATACGGGGACCATCGAATGTACGCTGGGCATGAAGAAGAAATCACGTCGTTCAAACATTAAACACGATCGGAAATTTAACGTGTTCAAGATCGCGAGGGGAGCTCTCCGAAATGAACGGAAAATTTCACTTTTTTCCGGATCGTAAGTAAACTTCAGTACAACCATCTTAATCATCGATGTCTTCTTGTACCTCAGGTGGCATATCTAGTAATTTGGAGGCCGTTTTGAAGGTGAAATCTGATGTTTTTTGTTGGAAAATGTTGGTTTTTTGGGACGGTGTTGTCCAGCTCACGGTATTAGCTTGGACCTTACTATCGCCAGACCATGTCCGAATGTTAAAAAGGCGATAAGTTTGGTCCAAGTTACTCGGACTAGGCAAATCGGTGGAGCGTTTGTATGGAGGGGGATACCCGTAATTCAACGCTCCACTCAGTAGAGCTAAAGCATGTCAAGAGTTATATACAACACAAAAGACAGGACAACCCCGGAAAGGGAAATGTTGCAACCTGACGCCATTCTTCCTTCATGCGATTGTGTGCAAAGTCTATGGAGAGTCATATGAATCATATGACTCTCCATAGACTTTGCACACAATCGCAGAAGAGGCGTCAGGTTGCAACATTTTTTTCCCGGGAAAGTTAATGACAAACCAGCCGAGCAGACTCTGCTGCACGGTCCTGTCCCGGGATAAATCCTGGACTTCTCAGTCGGTGGTCGGCGATTTTGCCTCTATTCCTGATGTTCGAGAGATGCATTGTAGACGTTTTTGTAGCGTAAAATAAGTTCCAAGTTGGTGCAGAAATCAACTCGCCGTAATCCTGATCCTGGCCTACTTGTATATGGGCGCGACAGCGCTGCGTGAACGTACGGTAGAACAATTAAGTAAGCATCGATCATTGATCTCCATATACACAGACTGGATAGGACATCGCGCCGTGTTTGTGCACGAATGCGCGGCCGAACAATGGCGGCGCGTTTACTGTCAGACGGGTAAACGCGTATTGTGCTTTCACTTTGTTTACTTTGGAAAATGGATTGTTTAGTGAAATTGTTCTTACAGGAGGGAGTTCAAGCGCTCCTCCAAAACAATCTTAAAAAAAAACCCTGAACGATGAAGAGTTACCCTCCAAACAGCTTTTCCACACTTTCTTGATATACACTTTCTTATTATGCATTTTCGAAATTCAAGAACCCCCCATTTCCTTTTCCCTTATTTTTTTTTAAATCCCTTCTCCTCCCAAAAATGATTGTAAGTAAATTGCCATTTCATTTTTGGCACATTGGTCATTAGAGCACACTGAATTACTCCATCAACGACATGAATAATTGTATTAATAATATGCTAAAGCCAAGGCAGACATAATTCAATCAGATTTTGCATATAAAAGTTATAAAGGTTATTCGAATAAACTATTTTAAACAAGTCAACTTTTGTTCATTGCCATTGCCGGGTCAGTCATGCACGTTTAGGCCTAGGCCTATGTCTTAAAAAACATGGACGGCGACCAGCATGACAGGTCTAGATCGCATGGAATTTGAACAGAATATCTCGCTATAGCTACCACACAGGCCTCCATCCCCTCAAACTCAGAGCGACAACACTAACGATATTATAATTTGCTATGTTCATATTCCTCCATGCCATGTTGTAAGACATCGTTAAAAAACAACTTACTTGTGAATAAATTGTCCTATTCTTCAACGCTCCTTACTTCCCGACTCCAGCAATCTAATGCTGCGCACACCTTGACTATACTCCTCATCGATTTTGATCAATTTAGATCTCTGTTTCTTTTATTCTTTCAAAAATGACAAAGAAACCGAAGAAAACCCAGCTTCATTTTTTAATCCTCCGTTCGAAAGTGTACACAACTCGAATGCGAAATTGTGTTCTTTACCCTTTTCAAAAAACGCGCGCGCGGACGCACGTTCGTACGCGATGTCCTATCCAGTCTGTGTATATGGAGATCAATGGCATCGATCATATGAAGTCTGGTTTCCAGACCAAAAGATTCTGACTATTTCTCATGATCATTCACATAGCTCCATTTCTCGACCCAAAAAAAAGGGGAAATTGATTTATTGACCGATAGGCCTATACACAAAAGGCATAAGAACGAACCGCGAAATTTCGACTCAATTCAGAAGCGCCCCCTGCTGAGCACAACTTCGGCATAATCGTTGATATCGGGAGCCACGTGCGCAATAACAAATTTCATATTACCGGCAATAGCGCCCCCACATTTGATTGGATACAAAAAGCAACAGCGCACTTTATTGTGCTGATTAAATAGTGCAGAAGAGAACTGATTGATAAATAATTTCAAATGTCATGAAAAAAACAGCATTGTGAATAATATAAGCATATCAACGTATAGTGTGTGTCTACAGTGCGAAAAATGCAATCCCAATTGAAGTCAACTTTAATTGATCAAAAATAATACTCATTATTTTGATCATTTAAAGTTGACTTCAATTGGGGTTGCATTTTTCACACTGTAGACACACACTATACCTTGAAATGCTTATATAATTTCTATTTTGACACTATTTCTCTTGAAATTAAATAGACCTTTTGTAATTTATCATGTCAAATCACCAGATGTAATTTCAGTTCGATATATCAGGTATTGTAGAGTTTGAGATGACCACAGAGGCATACCTCCAGGGGGGGGGGGGGGGGGGGGGGGGGGCAACCGTTGTTGATCGCCCCGGACAAGAGGTACATATGACCCAAAAACATACATCTAAAGGTGACCGTTCATTAGACCTATATTTTGAGCGAAATATCGAAAATAACGGTTTTATGATTATTAGATCGTGTTTCTCTTGAACCAAAAACAAATTTCTCAGTCGTTTAAAACAAATGGCAACATTTGGAGAGAAAAAAACCCCTTTCTATCGCTGGGGAGATGTCTAGCTAGGCCCAAAAACACATTTCCGTCATATTTTTGGACATATGTGCCATTCAGGAAATGAACCTTTTTTTTTATAAATATTAGCCACAAATATAAATTGTTCAGTAAAACAAATGGGAGTTTTGGCCAAAGCGCCAGATATGGAAAAATAATGTATTAATATACAACAAACTATTCAAACAGCCAAAAGTTCAAAGATTATGGCAAAATCACCTGTTCGATGATTAACAAAATATATATTTTAGACAGATCTCTCTCAAACATTTTAGACACAATTTTTCTTGCGATTGGCATCTGTCCAAAAATACGGGTTGGAACATTTTCATTTTGTCTAGAAATTATTTAACATGCAAGTTTCACACCAAATCTCCAATTTAATACTGACATAAAAAGTTATAAAGATTCAGACAATGAAACGTTTGCATTCAATGAACAAATGAAAATAAAGAGGCCATTTATTTGAGTGACAAATAAACTAAATGTGCAAAGGAAGTCAAAATAATTGACAAATTATTATGAGAATCAAATTAGTTTGTGAGGTGTTATGGCAAATTAAGACTGAACTTGGCATAGGCCACAGTGAATGAATGTCCAACTGAGGTCCAGTAAACAGTATTGTAAGGACGATTGTATTCTTTCCCAAGACCAGGCCACAGTGAATGAATGTCCAACTGAGGTCCAGTAAACAGTGTTGTAAGGACAATTGTATTCTTTCCCAAGACCCGTGGACTTCTTCCTTGTGTCTCATTTTACCAGAACGCCTCATCACATAACAGAAGGTCATCATCGACGAATGCCAAGTCAACCGTGAACACGTGCACAAACTCACAAACAAAAAGAAATAATGGACGCAATTATGACGGATTTACTAAAATAGGGCGAAAAATCTCACTTTGACCGATTCAATCAAAGTAGACTTAAAAAACGAGTAAATGGTGCAATAAAACACGATTTGACCGAATCAATAATATAATTATAATGGGTGCACATGGAAACATTAAAATCCCTGCAAGACAGCTGGAATGTCTGAGAGATCAGGGGCTTCTGATCGATAAGCGTACCTCCAGATTCATTGCCATGACGATCATGAGTAGATACCAAATACCGTACTCAGCAATAATGCTGAGCATTGAGAGTGAACCAGTCACAAACTGTACACTGCATGACAGGTACACTGGTAACTAGGGTTTGTTCAGTACACCCATGAATGACGCATAATGGGCTTTTTTTGCAGATAATATACCCTGACAAACTATGTGGCATAAATATAGATTACAAACTCCTAAATTCGGTATGAGGACACAAAATGTCCGCTTAATTCATTTATAATCTAAAACCGAAAAATCCCAAGAAGAGTTTTAATCAACTGCAGTATACCGTTCACAAACACGGCCTGCAATGCTGAAATAACGTCCATAAATCAAACGATCATGTCCCTTTTAGAGCAAATGATGGCGCTGTTGCAACGACACCTTCATGATCAAATCGGAAAAATATTGTGAAAATTCTATAGTTCTAAATTAACACCATGATCGAGGAGTGGGTTGGCTCCTGAGTATATCTATGGGAGGCTGATGCATCCCAAGTTTAGGGTTTTGATTGTCTTGCCGAATACCTTGGGCTGCAGGCCAAGGCATCCGCTGAAATGGCCGCCCTCGGCTTGCAGGTTGGACAACTTGAGACAAACGGAGACCGCTCGCAACTTGGGCACTTTGACACAGATACCGTTAGCGTTGCCCGCTGAAAAAGAAAATTAAGCAAACTAGTGTTAATAAAAAGAACTTGTGAAAACTGTTCAAAAATGGATGTTGTGATTCTGTGATGTCCACTGTCAGTAAACTTTCTCATTCTTCACTGCATGAGTTATGTCGCATTTAAAAGACATTGTTGCCATTTACTTTAATGTTGGCATTTACTGCTCTTCTGTGCATTGTGGTTTGCTATTATTTGGGAGGAAGAGGTATGGCAACGCGCGAGTCTGAAATTGAATACGGATGCCCATTCCCTCTCGGACGAAATGCGTCGATTGAGAAGTCAGACCCTTACACCATTAGACAAGAAGCACAATTTGCAAAAGCTAGTACGGATAAGCTTGGTTGAGTTCAAATGTTTAAAGGCAAACACGCACTAATTCCGAAACTGACAAAATTCATTTTTGTCACACCCGCCCATAATCTTACGTTGACGTCATTATGAAAATAACTATTTATGAACATTGCGCTGAGACTGTCAACAGAGGGCGTATCATGAGCACCACTGATCAAGGGATGATCATGGGGATAGACTTTACTATATGCACGCATGCGCGCAATTTAAGCAAAGCGGAATGGTATTACAATGCGCATTACCATTTTGGGGCCGATTTTATAAATTTGCTGATACAAACATATCGAGAAAAAAATCTATGTTTTATTCAAGAAAAAAAAAGTTAAAAGCACCCTGAATTTTACTAACCTGCGATTTTCTTTTCAAACACAGTGGAGCCGCGTACGGTGATCTTCAAATGAAGCCCCATCTCCTCGGGCAAAAATGTAGCCTCCACACAAGCTGTTAATAAAATGTGGCTTTTAAAAAATGGGCATAACTAGACTCGGGGATGGCAAAAGTGAGCACTTTATTACTAAAACTCTTAAAGTACGCCTCCACAAAATCGGCTTCCGCTCTGCTCCGATAACTAAGACCCATGTCAACTTACTATTTAAAAATACAAAGAAATACTCTACATTTTTTTAAGGATGACCTGAGTGGGTTTTCTTGTCCAATTTGTCAAATTTCATAGAAATGTCAGCGTGAAATTGAATTGAATAATAATTTTAAGAGCATTCACTTTGTCAGGAGTAAAATTCATGTTTGTTTCCTTTCAATTCAATTCAATTCAATTCAACTTCACATTTATTTCCATGCCTCATGAAGAAAAAATATATATATATGCACAAACTTTAGAGAAAAGGGTTAAACAATAAAGCAGTAAATATCAAATTAACAACAAAATAAAAGAAGCAAATAGAGCATGGGGCTGTTTTAATAAGCAGAAGCTTGTGGAAAACAGTCTGATAGAAACAACACAGGACAAACAAACAAACAAACAAACACCCCAACACCCCAACAAACAAAGACATTACAATGGGTAAGCAGACACGAGACAAGGAACATTCTGATGACAGACTCTAGGCAATAATTTGATGAAAAGATGGCAAAAGGCTCTATGAGCAAAATGATGACAAACCAAAAAAGCATGTGAGGAATTATAGAAACGCAGTATACTCAATCAGGAGAGAAGGAAGAAGGGAATTGTTTGTGTTCATATAAAGAATAAGAGGTGCGTTTGATGGGTCATTTTGGTTGGGCACAGACTGGAATACGGAATTAGTATTCGTTAATTAAATTGCACAAAGTGTCGAACGGTTCTACTTGGAGAATTCGACAACAAAGTTATTCCACAAACTCTTATGATGATAATTATTAAATTATACAAAAATGCCAGCCAATGTAATCTTACCATTGAATTCCACACGCTTCCAGAAGACTTTGAAGGAGGTTCCAGCGCAACACTTGGCAGTAAATCCCTCAACAGTGCACTTAGCACCTTTTGATTGCCGGCTTTCTGCATGAGAATGAGAGGAGTTAGCCTGGCCCTAATTCATGGTACTGCCAGGCAGTGAAAAAACACAGGATTTTCTGATAATTCACAAAGACACGCTAACTTCATAAAAGACTCAAACATTAGTGACAAAACAATTCAAATCTCCGTAAGTGCAATACAAAAAAAAACACGCACTGTAAATAGTGCCGGCTTTTTTTGCTTGGGCTTCATTTGTTTTCCTATCACTGAAAACGATTCTTACATGTTTCAAGCTCCGATTTCGTTATGGACGAAATCAATCACAATAAATGTCTCTGCCCTTAAATGTACCCATTTACTCCTGGATAGTGACAAAATGTCTTGCCCAAAGACATCCCCACACCCCCGATTACCTACAGATAGAGATCCATTCTTCAGCCATGGTGAATTTTAATCGCATGTTACACATTGACTAACACACTTATAAAACCTACCCTCTTGGACAAGCTCATGCAACACTCGGCGACCCTCGCGGAGTTTGGCCGCCAGTTCCTCGCCACTCACTCCTGCCTGCTCTTCTTCCATCAACTGTAAAGCCAACTCCTCGTGAATTTCGTCCAATACTCCTTCTTCCTGCGAACAATGAAAATAAATAGCGGTGCGAGTGCGGAAGGACCGTTCTAGTCCACTTCGCATTCCACCTGTGTATGATATTTAACAGTCCTTGTGACATGGGTTTGATTTGAGCTACTGTGCCCACATGCCCAACAGCCGAGATCAAATTGTATTGATAGGCAGGTCTGTTGATAGGATTCTTGGATCGAGTATTTCAAAGTGCCGAAAAGATGTTTAAAAATCAGTTGGAACTCGGCACGATGATGATTACTCGAACCCTCTCTGAAATTTACAAACACATTAAACATTCCAAAGGTATTTGACGAGCGGTCACTCTTTCCAAACCTGCGGAAGGTAATACAGGGAATGAGAGACCCACATCAAGTGTTCGGCCCGGGCGGGATTAGAAACCGGGTCATAATGAAGGCGAGGAAAGTACGCCAACCTAATCAACCAATAGGCCAAAATGTAATCGAATTAGGAAGCTGCGGTGGCGTCAATGTGGGGTACAAACTACCGTGAATATAATCTTATTAGCGTAACAAGTTGCCCTTCTTAAAAGATACATTAAATTTTACCTTCTTTTAAGTTTTAGATAGAAGTAAGTGGCGACACTTATTCAGTAACCTGACATTTTGTACTTTGCATATTGGCGTAGTTTTACATCAAACTCATTCATTCGAAAAAAAATGACCTGTAATTATTTCAACGTGCAGATACCTCTCTCTCTATCTCGTTTAATGCTTTGCGATTCTCTCGCAGTTTCGCTGCTAGGTCCTCTCCCGTCACACCCGCCTGCTCGTCTTCCAACAGCTGCAAGGCGAGTTCCTGATGCAAAGCCTCCAATCCCTCAGCCAGCATGACCAAATAAGGAAACCAATCTTTGTTGCTGTTTTCTACCAACTAAACCTTCTTACAAGGCATGCTTGACTTTGGAAAACTAACGGAGCGGCCAAGCCATGATAGCGCTTACAGCGGAGACTGCGCACAGTCTAGCCTTTGGGGTTTCGACTTGACTGAACCGCTATTGAAACTTGTATAAGGTGCATGTGCCATTGGTTATCTAAACTTATCTTGTAAATCAATTGCAAACAGAAATGCTGTGCAAGCCCTGGATACGATGTGAGGAAATTAAATATTTGACAAAATGAAAAAGGTTTTTTTCGTCAAGAACTTTCAGTGGGGTTTAGATAGGAATGGGTACAAATTACTTACATTTTCCTCAGCGTTGGAGCCCACAAGGAATGCTATCAGAGTAAACAAAACAAATAATATTGAATCCATTTAAATTGAACTCTTTCATTTTAACATTTAATAACAAGCTTTTATTATGGAAGCTGTCTTGCCAAGCCAAATTATTCCGAAGATTAGAATTAAATTAACGTTTGAAAGAGTTAGGAGCAACTTATACGAAAGACGGACCCCAGAGTCCAGTAAATTGAAAATTAGTACAACAAAAATCCAAATTTTATTTCAGTTATAGCGCCTTATACATTATAGCGGCGCGAATTTCCAACGTCACTCCGAATCGGGTACAACTCTGTTACAAACTGCATCGACGGCGACAAAGATATATCATTGTGTATGTTGGTATTTCCATAAATAAGGGTGCCAATGCATTTTATATGCATAACTTTATACATAAAGTACTTTCTGTACGCTTTGCAGTTTCAGTATGTGGTAAAGGTTTGTCCTTGTCACTCAAAACATGAATCGTATGACGAAAAACATTGTTTCATGTGTAACGGGGACACCAATTTTGGTGTCATCGTTACACGATTACACTAAAAAGGTTAGAAATTAATTTAACTCATGAAGTAAAAAAGTTGGTATGATTACATACTAAAAAAAATTGAGACATTTTCAAAGAAATACTAAAGATAAATGATACATACGGGTATACATGGTTTCACAGAGACACCGACCTCTAAATATGGAAATAATCACTATATTTTGTGCAGTATTAATCTTAAAATGTCTGAATTCATAATAAGTGTCATTTATTAGCTTATGAATTGTGTGGAATTCAGAAATTTTCAAAGAAAGCTAATAGATACGGCACACAAAAAATTTGCTTCACACTGTGACGGACATTGGGGGACACCATGGTGTCCCCCGTTACACGTGAAACAAGCAACTTATCATTTGCACCATATTTCTTAAGCCTGTCATTGGAAAGTCAAACGTTCATAACAGACACAAGTGTATTTTAATGCTTTGTATAAAATGTGAATTTTAGACATTTTCAATGAAAACCAACATAAATAATTATGGCAACGAAATCACCAATTTCACGTGTTACAGGAATGGCGTCCATATTACACGTGAAACAATGCTTTCCATCATGTAAGAGGAAAATCAAGTCCAAAAATGAAAAATGGATGTTTAAAGTACTAAGATCATCCAGTCCTATACACATTTAAACCGCAAAGGTTAAAGAAAATATTTTGCATCCAACCTTTACAACAATGTCACACTTTGGACCCTTAGGCCTACTTATGGATTTGAAAAGGTAAAATGAATTGGTATTAGTACATGATTCATTATTTTGTTTTAGCTCCAACCAAATCATATTAACTAGGTATAATGATGAAATCTTCCCAACAATTGTTGCTTCCATTTCAACAGCATATGATAAACAGCAGTAGGCCTATTCTTACCTGCCAACACCAAGCAGATCAACGCAGTTACATTGAATCGACACATGTTGTCAGTGATGTTGCCTGAGTTTTTACTCAATGTTCAAGACGAAAACGGTTTGTTTGGTGCAATAACTGTTGTCAGTTTCAAGTGCTCGCGGTTTGTGAATAGTCTCAACTCTCCTTATAGTCATTCGTCCTTTCCACAGACCCATTTTATTTATTTTTGTCCACTTTCTTTTACATAAATTATGGGCCATCTACAGAGATATATTAATGGCTTGAGAAGTAGGCCCCATAAATACTTTCGAGAAAAGTCCCTGAAAATAATTTGGGATTTCCTTTAATCTATCAACCATCAGGCAAGCAGTAATTTTCAATTCTATTGTAAATTATTCATGAAAAATGGAACAAAGTTTGACCGATCTACAAAATAGACCGCATGGTCTTCGAGACGAATAGGCTGATCATATGCATGGACTTAGCCCACTTTATTGTTTTAACCATCCCTCTCTGGCTGGCAATTCAGGTACACCATTCACAAGTCAAAATCAATCAAGTGACCAAAAATTCCTTTCTTAATTTGATATCTATGCCTTAATTGACTACAGGTGATTGTTTATACGCAATAATTGTTTTAAGTTATACCTCGTTTGTCTGTACTGTAGATGGAATTTGACTAGTCAAAGAGTGTTTATACGAATCATGACCCGACTGTTTTTCCTGTAGTCTGTATAATGCGTGGCAGGGGAAGTGGACCGATTTTTGGTTTGACTATCTGTGACTGATCAAATCATGCAATGTATTGGTATGCGGCATTGAAATTCCAACTGTTTGCAAATTTTGAATGAAACTAAAGTAGCAGAGTTGTGCTCTTATCTACATTCACCATGTATTTTCCCTCCACAACTTTAACTTGTTTGTACCACTTTTAACCCTAAAAGGGCCGGGTTATTTTGACCATCTCTCAGCCGGGGGGGGGGGGGGCCTAAGATCTCGGCCATCGAGTGACGACAATTTTGAAAATTGGTACATGCATAGAGCAACTCTTCATAAACATACCCAAGAAATTTCATGACTAAATGTTAAAGGGTTTTGGAATAATGGCTAATAAATCATTCATATGTGCGAATGGTAATTTTGCTCTGTGTACACGACGTATATGGGAAAATTCAGTTTACACGGCGCGTAGCGCCGGAAAAGTTATGTTTTTGGTATCAAAAGATGCGCAAGGATCGAGGCTAAAAAGTTATAACAGCTCGGGTCGTGAAAAAAAAATTAAAGGCTATCGCGGAAAAAGTTGGGGGGGGGGGGGGGGGCGGATTCCGCCCCGGCCCTTTTAGGGTTAAGGTTGTGGTAGTTAGGGTCGGATGCATGGGGTGGGGGTCCAACCAAGAGGGGAGGGGTCCTATGTGTATGCATAGTCGGTATATTGCAATATTCGCTGCCATTTCACGTGAATGAAATTATTCAATAGAAATATAGGTTACTGTGGCATCTAGCACAGAAAAACAGGGTTCATACTTTATGTATATATTTATTTTACAAATTTGTCGCTACGGCCGCGGAAGATCAAGAAATAGATCCTTCGATCCCCGGCGGATCTTTGTTACTGACGCGTCGCATGATATCCACTGGATTAAGGAAACTAATTAATTCCAGGTCATGGAAGTCGGTTAATTCAAGCAACGATGAATTGCACTGATGGGCGTCTCAAACGGACTTTCATAACTCCATTTTTCTCTTCATCTTTGTAACCCAAACCGTTTACCCGTTGTATATCGGTAAATACAGGGCGAGTCAAAAAAGCGAAACCCAAATCTGAGGACCTCTGTTTAAGTGAAGTTCTGCATGTAGCGCCTCCAAAATCTAGGATATGAAATCCCAATTAATAATCTTTCTTTTAGTAAAAAACAAATCATTCAAATCACTCATGTACCTTTGAAGTTACAGAATTTTAAACACAACCACCGTTATAAAGTTCTGTCCACGGATCTTTGAACGGCGTCACGGCGTCCTGGAGACCAGGCTTGGGGCGTGGGGGGGGGGGGACTGCTGGCTTCCTTCTATGCCGGTATTCATTTGTCTGCCCCCCCCCCCCCCCATCCAGCCAACCGCTCCTCCCCAACACCCCTTCAATAATACAATATTAAGTCATACAGTTTGTTTGTTTCTTTCGCCGCGGGGTTCCTCTTTCTTATTCGCTATCTTTTTATCCACTTTTTTCTCTCGGCATTTCGAGTCTTGTCAAAGATATCTTGCACTCAAAAGAAAACAAATATAAATAATTGAGTGATTTTCTACAGTCTTGTAACTAGATTCATATCGATTCTTTTAAAACGGTATATATTACTATAATAATGAATGCATCAGTTTTGTCCAAGGAAGGTAATTAACTTATCCGACTATAATCTAATTCAGTATTATACTGAATTAGTTAAAATTTACACAACTAAACGTTTGGTATATGGATACAAAACCTGGATTAATTTGGCTCAGCTTAATCCCGTGAATTCAGGTATAATTTAATAAACAAACACCTGTAATCTCATTTGTTTTGTAAATGAATATGGGTTTATATGGATAAACTACATGTCTAGCCGTCTTTTTCCTCATGTTTTTATGGAACTGTTTATATTATTAAACAAAAGGGGCCGGGCAAACTTTCTTTGTCTGGTACTAAACAGTAATGTGAGCGCGGAATCATGGGCCCGCTAATTAAAGGGACCCGAAAATTTTAGATTCTAGACGTACTGTGATGCAATTACGTTTTTGAGCAAAGTTTTAAAGATTAATATAAGGAGAATTCATTGCATTTTGTTTACTTTGCTCTTATAAAGTTCTCATACTCAATGTTGAGAACCATGTAAAATACTTTGGAAAAGGGATTCTTATGACATAAATTGAAATTTGTTTACTAAACCTCCCGTAACGTGTTGTCAAAACTTGAAATTTAAGTTTATCAATATCAGGTACGAGTATAGAACAAACTATTTGAGCATAAGTGGAAATCAGTGTAATTTATTCGAAGTAAAACTATAACAATAGAGCTATAGCATTGCAACTCCACAGCTTAACGAAAGAAAGAAATCCACGAAATTGTCTTTGTTTCAAATCAGTCAAGTTTCTGTACACTGGGGACTTAATTTTTTTCTCCGTTACGACCAAAAAAAAAATCATTGACAACATTGTTTTCCTTCAAATTAGGTTTTGCCCTTCACCGACGTTTGTTTTCCTTGATACTTCATAGGTTTATTTTATCAGTCACGACCAATCACAAGGCAAAATTTCCGATCCAGTACAAGTGGTATTTTATACTGGTGACGACAATTATCTGTCTTAATATCTCACAGGCTTATTACAGTAGTTCATGTCCAATCACTAGACTAGGCGAAACGTCTATGCACGTCTGTGTGTTGTTCCTACGTTGTCAATAGTTATAGAGAGATTTTCTGTAGACATGGACTGGGCTGGTTTCCACTCGCGCGAGAACAAACAGCTAGTTTTTGACGACGACAACATTATGTTGTTTGAATACTTCTATTAGTTATGACCAACCGCTGGGCGAAAATTCAATCCATCCGTACCAGGGGCGGATCCAGGAATTTTTGCAGGGGGGGGGGGGTTTCATCAGCAAATCATTGCTGAAATGTAGACAGGTTGACTTCTCAAAATCAAGGGGGGGGGGGGGTCTCGTACCATACTTTCAATGGAGGCGCTGTTCAAATCTCACTATTATTAACACTATATTGCAGAATAGTGTACAAATACACCCTGACCAAGCTGGCTCTATTTTGTGCACAGGTTGAGTACAATTTTTTTTTGTCAGATCAGGTTTTTTCGCATTATTTTCAATGAATTTCTTTATATTACAAACAAATTGACAGAGATGTAGGGGGGGGGTGTTGATTTCTCACTGGATCCGTGCCTGAGTACGACACGTATTTAATACACGGGCGTCCTATGAAGGGGGGGGGGGTGCCATCATGAAATCTGCCGACGGACCGTCACGCAAAATGAGTGAAATTGATAATTTCCGCCCAAAATGATCCCTTTAATTCCATTTCTAATTTCCTCCACAAATATGTGAATGGTTAATTATGTTGATTACTTTGAATGGATTTATTTTTTTCAGTGGGATAACTTCTACTAGAAAGGTAAATCTTCACAATTTTGCCCTATTTATTGAAATGTTTTGGACATTTGCTCATCGCCAAAACTGCGTGTACACGCATACGTGTGCGCATACATTGTTCCCTAATCCCAGACTGTGTTGTTTCTGCGCATAGTCATAAAGATTTTCTGCAGACTGGGACTTCATTTCGGGAGGTTTTTCTCCGTGGTGGCACACATTAATGTACGGCGACGACAACAATTGTTTGTTTCTTATAGGCTATTTTATTCTAAGGCAGAATTTCAATCCATACGACAGGTATTTAATAAGTGATTGTTCGTGCAAGTGTGTGTGTTGTTTCTGCGTGTTCAATAGTCAGGAAGAATTTCTGTAGACTGTGACTTCATTTAGGCAGGTTTTTTTTTCCCGTGATGACTAAAATTACTTTATTGTTACGACAACAATTGTTTATCTTAATATCTAATAGGGTTGTTTTACTAATCATGTCAATCACTTGGCGACATTTCAATCCGGTACGGCAAATATGTAATTAGTTATGTTCCCATTATTGTAGAACTGTGTTGAAGATTCAATGCACATCTTCCATAAACCCATCGGTGAATTTATGCTCATCAACTTTTTAACTACATTTTGTATTTGGATGTGGGTATTGTTTTCATTCAATAGTCCCGACTGTCTTTAATACAATTCAGATAATACAGGTTTCTATGAAATCGAAAACAATTATAAAAGTACAAGCCTCAGTGTTCGTTAATTACCAACTATCACCAAAGATATTTTATTGAACTCAAAATATTGATGGCATTCTATCATAACTGACACAAAAAAAATTGGAAAAATATGAAAAAAAAAGAAAAAACTGACACAAATTAATAATGCTGCAAGTACGCGTTAAATCAACCACCACCATCCCATCACCTGATTAAACAGCCAGAGTAAATTCTTGATTGCAAGATCATATGCATGTTAGCGTATCTTTTAAAAACAAATTCCGTATGCAAATTAGGATAATCATTTGGTGCGTGGCCTTGCTTTAAATCAGCGTTTGTTTTGTATGTGATGCCTGGAGTAAAAACATAATTAATTCGTCGCGGCAAGAGATCGGAAAAACACGATGCGTGGCCTGTTTTTGTTATGTGGCTATGTCCAGGGCTTACGACGATCTTTCCCTTTCTCTGTTATACACTCGTGAGGTTTTTATAATAAGCTTAGTTTTGAAGGCACAATAAAGTAAAAGGAGAGAGAGCGAAAATGTAATCAACAATATACGAGATGGAGCAATAAATAATTTTGGAAGTCTTTTCATAAAGTTTTCCCCAAGGTAATTACTTCCTAAATTGACGCCGTATTTAACCACGAGCGACTTTAATATTAAACCATCTCTGTAACGTGCAGGATTTATTTCTACGGGATCCTGATACAGCCCATATTGAGGGTAGCCACGGTAAACCCAATCGCCTTGGGTTTGAAGGCGAAACAGCCTCTGAAATGTCCGCCCTCAACTCGGAAGTTATTAAGGTTGAGGCAGAGAGAGACGACACGGATCTCCGGAACACCCACGCAGATATCGCCAGGATTTTCAGCTGCAAAGAGATTGCATACAAGGGTTTCAATTGAGAAGTCATTTTCGATCGTGGTTCCTGAATCCATTTCATAAAATGTAAACTGCTGAAAGGGATGGTGCCCGACTAGTTTATTATGGATTCGCGTGCAATCCAAACCTCATTCTTTATATTTTTTCAATGTGGCTTAAACATTATGGGCATGTTTAATCTGACAGGTTTAAAATTATTCATCAGAGCAAACTGGTGTTAATTTGTAATAACACTCTGTGTCTTTGCTTTCACTTCTACTCGCATGTTCCGAAAATTTAGACTTTACCTCGCTTTCAATTTAATATCATTGGCTGACTCGTAAATAAAGTCTGTAATCCAAGACTAGATGTAAATTTGCATCTCAAGTGACATTACAGCGTCCTCAGTAACTTAAAATATTGAAAAGGGTGTATTTTAGTTTCTAACATTTCAAAAGATGAATACTTGTCAAAAAAAGTTTGTGTGCATTTTCATAACATAAGGGCACAAAAAATAACACCATGCAGTTGTCTTAATAAAAATTGATGAACTTGCGCTTGTAAGTGAGGGGTAATAGAAACTCTTTTGCTTACCTGAAACGGTTCTGTCCAGAAGGTTCAATCCGCTGACGCTGATTCGCAAGTGGACCCCCACCTGTTCAGGTAGATATTCAGCCAACACACAAGCTGAAAAAGAGAATATAGTTTTATACAAGAAACCCATCTATGGTCGGTAATACGGTGTTTTTGTGCACGCAGGTAGGACATAAATCGGGGGGATAAGGCAGCGGGCAATAAAACGAGATGGTATTATGTTGGCATTGTTAGGCCTACATGATTATTAAGCAGAGGAAATGCAGCATGTGCATGGTTGGGTCAATCTCTAAGAAATATTTTGTTGTAGTGGACGCATATGAAGTCGAGATAAGTACATTGGGGCCGTATCATAAGTCCGATATGCCTTATAAGTCCGAAAATTCGGACTCATGAGGCGTCGGGCTTATGAGGCATAAATTCTGACTCATAGGTCCGACGCCTCATAAGTCCGACGCCTCATAAGTCCGACAATGGACAAACGCTGTTTCGGACTTATGAGGCGTCGGACTTATGCGGCGTCGGACCTATGAGGTGGAATCAATAAATGTTATGCCTCACAAGTCTAACGCCTCATAAGTCCGACGCCTATTGAGGCGTCGGACCTATGTGGCGTCGGACCTATGTGGCGTCGGACTTATGAGCGGACCCCAGTACATTAATGAGAAGTGGTATAGCAGGTCATGTAGATGTGACCATGGAAGCAATTGCACATTATCTAGTCCCAAGTTACTATTTGCATGTTCAAGGTGAAAATGTTCCATTGTTCACCCCACACATTGACTTGTGGTTTATAACCATGACCGGACTTAAGCTGTACTTGGTTACAACTACTTGGAAAACAACGTTGTCTTTGTTATCATTAAATAAACAAAATAAGTCAAATTGTTACCGTTTAGGTTGTAAGTTTTGAAGAAAACTCTGAAGGATGTTCCAGCGCAGCAGTTAGCGGAATATTCCGTCACGGTGCAGCCAGCGCCACGGGTGTCGAGCGAACGGGAATCTGCAATACAAATTAGTTTATTTAGTTTTCCTTAAACAGACATGACACTTGATGCACGCTTCTGCAGTTTCGGCGTTTCTATGCAACACATGAACGGCCCCCAAAGTTTGTTCATTTTATTTGAAACCGTTTTGTGCATCAGTGTTCTTCTCACTGATTGGAGTTTTAAAAGTGCCTTATTAAACTTACCCTCCGCTACTTCGTTGAGCACCCTAGCGAGTTCTTGGCCCGTCATTGATGCCAGTTCCTTTTCAAGGAGTTGTTCTATAACCTCTCTTTCCATCTCGTTCAATTCTCGGCGATTCTCGCGGAGTTTGGCCGCCAGTTCCTCGCCGGTGATCCCCGCTTGTTCTTCCTCCAGCAGCTGCTGAGCCAATTCCGCATGCATCTCGTCCAATGTGCGTCTTTCCTGAGCATGAACAAAATAACGATTGGAAATGGAAATGCAAGGAGATAATATTGGTTCCTGTCGACAATTGATCATTCGATTGTTATCTGCAGTTCCTACCGACAATGCCAATGGGTGGTGTAAAACCGATTAGGCCTATACTTACTAATTTTGGAGAATTTGTATTTTCTATTTGAATAAGAAATTAATATTTCAGTCATTTAATACTTGTTTTATCAAATAATGCCTTGCTATACATGTGTTTATCAGTAAAAGCATTCCATCCACTCCCACCCTTCAAAAGAAAGTCTTTTCATGGATTTGGTCTACACAATGATCCGGACTTGTCCATTCAACAAAACCGGGTTTTTATTTATACATTAGTAGCCTACTCCCCTTTCTCACAAGTGACGCTCATCTTCAAGTGATAGGTCTTGGGCATAAACAAACAACGCGTCCTCCACAAGTCAGCCAAATCTAAATTAAGTTCCTATGTGTAATCTCAATAATAGCAGGCCCATATTTAATATTACAAATTACAGCTGAATTGGTAATTATAGCCCACGAATATCAGAATACTACGTGTACACATTTGGACAGACTTCGGCGGAAAACTCAGTACGAGAAAGTACGAGATCTCGAGACAAATCACGGTCGCACATCAAACCACACCTAACATGTACTTCCGACATAAACTAAAGGGTGTAAGCCTGTTACACAGAAAAGTCTTTACTGATGACACCATGGAGGTAGGTTTCGCACAACATAAGATAAATTCATACTCACTTCAGCAGCACTGGCGTCCATTGCGAAAGCTATATAGGGAAAAGATATAATAGCAGAGTACGTTTCTTAAGATTCACATACAAACTAGTTTCATGTGTTACTTTTGGTATGTCTTTTGGCTATATATTGATGTCGCAATGGAAAAGCTCATAATAACGTAATCGTGGGCGTTGACTGAATTGGCGTAGCCGTACTTCACTTGCCTTCCTTCACTTTGACCAGGGATTGAAATCCCACCCGGTTTTCATTTTCCACGAATAAAAAAGTTTTTATAGAACCTCAAAAATTACAGTATTCTCCCTAAATCTTCTCCTACCATAGTACCAAGGGAACCCTCTGGCAACAAGTCAAATTAATTTACATAGAGTTAAGTACATTCGACTCTCGTTACTGCGAGCTCGGTTAGGCGGATTTTCCGGTTAAGACGAGCATATTTTGCCAGTCGTGTTTCGCCAGTGAAGACGTAAGGGAAGGGGAATATATTTCACGTCTGCATGGTCGATAACTAAATAAAATGACATGAAGCGATACAAATAGTGTACTTATACTTACACGCCAGTATGATGCAGATGACTAACTGAGTGACACAGACAGTACGCATGGTGGCTAGAATAGGAACTACTGATAACTTGATAAAGAAATCTGAAGAACTGATCGATCAAGCGTTATTCGTAGTTTTTCACTTAATCATCTCTAGTTTTCTGTGCTTCTTTCTTTATAGATTATCTTCACCAATTAATTCACACCAGGATAATGTACCAGATCAATACAATCATCGAGGAACCAACAAGTAGTATCGAATTATACCAATGGTGTTTTCAGTAATCGTATACCATAAGGCGTGCTAGGATTTAGCATTTTAAAATTTAACTCTGCATTATTGATTCAGTTTCTTAAACTTCGGCGAGACGGTTAGACTAATTTGCAATTTATCCTGCTCATTTACGGATGAAAGTATCAAAATGGGATCACAAGCTTAAAATAACGGCGCCTATGTGCATAATTAGTCTGCTTCGTTTTACGGATTTTGTCTGCAACAAATTTTCTGGTGAAATAATTATAATCATCGACGAGGCAACAAAAGGGAATTAGGCTGGAAGGTTTTCCAGTAATCTTGCACCATCGGTTAATAAATATTTCAATTTTTAAATTCGATCATCAATTTATTATTAACTCTGTTTCTTAAATGTCTGTAAATGAAGAAACATGTACAGCGCCCCCAGCGATGACCTCCAGTTGTAATGTCGACTTTTTTTTTTATGTGTAAGCATTACTCGATATATACGTGCCAAGTTTTGCATCATTATAATGCACATTGTACAATTTATGCCAAAAATCCTGGTTTTGACAAAATGCCAAAAACTAAATGAGAAAGTGATATTTCATTGGTCAAACAACATTCTATACCTATGTTAGGACTATCGGCCAAAGCATATGGAAATTGGGACTGACACTTTCCCAAAACTGAGAGTATCCAAAATTCCCGGTCCAGATAGAGTTTAATGAAGTAAGAAAACAAAAAGAAAGGACGTTTCCTGGAAGATAAGAAAGCAACATCATTTTTTAGCCGAGAGAAATCGCCATGCTGTTCCGTTCCGATCTTTACGCATACCCTTAAATACTGAATCAGTCGACTGCAACAGTCTGGTGAAGTCTCAGCAGGTGAATTAAAGTCGATTCTCGTCAATACAAACTCAGCCAGATCTAGCTAAAATGTGTGTTATATCAGACTTTTATATTCAGTGGAGAGCCGTGCCTGTGCCTGTGCATTCATTGTGCGCATAACTGCACAGTTGGAGCAAGCCTTTGTTTGCTAAAACCACAATTTGTTCAACCAGTGTTTGTATTAAGGACATGCGACTGTATTTTGAAATAAAAAAAAGCATTTTTTTCCCCGGATGATTGAAAGAAACAGACTCATAACAGATGCCTAAATTTAGAGCCATGGCACGTTTTTCAATGTTCGATTCCATGCTGTGAATCACAACAGTGTATAATTATCAGCCAAACGTTCAGCACAATATTGTACCATCAACAAATTTAAAGTAAAAAATGAAACAATAACAAAAATACATGTTCAGATTATATAGACGTTAATGTACAGTGTGATATTAACTCTTTCTTCCTGAGAATCATTCTGTACAACATACAGGTATAACTCATTAAAACAAAACCGAGCTACAAAATAACCGAGAGTATCACAGCAAAATCAATGAAAACATAAAAAATGGTACTCTCCCAGGAATCAATCATTGAAAGAAATGTAAAAAATGAAATGTGTAAACTACATTTTGGTCATTTTGGTCATCTTGAAACAACTTCTTGACAGGAAATGCAGCATTTGACGATAGTTGGACTAGTCTACCTGACTAATCAGGACCAGCCTACCTAGGCTGGTTGCAGTGCTGGTAACAATAGCTGCGCTCATCAACCTTCAAAGCAAGAAATGTAACCGTACCCCCCCCCCCCCCCCCCCCCCCCCCATTCGCCTCAATTTTCTGTTCTCCATTTTGTTCCCGAAATCTCAACAGTTCTTTTGAAATATCTAGAAGGCTATGTTAGGCAGAAATATAACACTGCTTAAAATGATTTTCTTGCACTTCTTAACATAAGAAAATAATTCTTCTTTTTTTGCAAGAATTATTTTCTCGTCTCACTCCCTTAAAAGATTTTCTAGGTTGTGAGACAAGAATGTTTTTCTTGAAGTAAATATTTTTCTAATTTTAAGAATATGATATTAAGCAGTGACTATATTAAACATGGTTTCACATTTTACTATCTGTAGCAAATAAAGAATCCGTCTAGAACCCTGTCTCCTCTTGTCATCTCTCATAATGTAAAACGTCTCTTTCTAACTGTCCTTGAGGGCCCGTCTACTTCATCTTCTTTAATTGAGTCTCTTGGCTGGCCTACATGGGCTACCGTAGACGTTCTCTTGGTGTAGAACAAGATGTATGCCTGGCAGAGTGTAACATCCTCAATGGAGCACAGTTCCAAACGGGCGTCGTTGCAGTGAACCCAAAAACCTACAGGGCAAGACATTGGTTGAGTTTTCAATTTAATTCAACTCAACAATAATTTTCACGTCACCATAAATGACAGTACTATAGGAAGCAGATTTACAAAGGTACAAAATGGATTTCACAAAAATATTAGTTTAAGATTACATGAGTTCAGGAATTAAGTTATGGTTCACTAGTATGATCAGATGTGTTCAGATAGAGATATGTCAACATAAAGGAAAAAGTGAAGCAGCCTTTTGTGGCTCTCGTTTGGTTTTGAACGATATCCTTGAGTTTAGTTTCCCATAACTAAATAACTGGGGTTTTTCTTTCAAAACTTTTCAAAGCACAATAAAATTGCCAGCACAGAAATATCAAGCAAACATCAAAGGCGGAGTTGACCTCAAATACCATAACATTACAAAACACGGTGCTTGTGTTCTTGGGCAAGACATTTTACTGCAATTGCCTCTCTCCACCCAGGAGTATAAATGGGTACCTGCGAAGGTAGAGACCAGATCGCGCTGATCTTGAGCTGCTGCAAAAAGTGTTCTCATAGTGTGATGAACAGGGGTAATTATAGTGAAGTGCTTTGAGACCTTTGGCATCAGCGCTATATGATCACAAAATGATTATTGTTATTACATGTATCCCTACTCATTAATGTGGACCTCACCTCCAACCTTGTTCCAGCAGTAGGCTGTGTAGTGGCCCGATCCGAACCTTGCAAACAAAAGGGACAAAGAAATTGTCAGCCGATGATGAGTTGTTGAATTGTCAGCCAATGATGAGTTGTTGAATTGTCAGCCAATGATGAGTCGTTGAAGCTTACAATGATTATCTAGGATGAGCTTATCAGATATCTTAACAAAAGCAGAATCTGTAGGGAATCTCGACAGAAGAAACACTGAGTGCTTAATCAATAGAGTGAACGCCTCGCGCATAATGAAATTAGTTTGCCGCAACATTTGAAGCAGTCAGTGTTTGTATATTAGTGCTAAAGTACAAGACAGCAGCCGATTTCATGAACAGTGCGTAACTTACGCCATGCGTAGGACTTACGCAACAAATTTGTTGTGCGGCTGTGCAATAAACTAACAATCGATTCAATGAAACTCTAAATAATCTAAAAGCTTTGGACAAGGATAATAGAGTACCGAAATGAATACATTGGGCGCACAATAACGTGTGTAAAAGACTTCAGAGCATGGTTCAGACCGGGAACCAACACGCGCACACTCCATTCGTTTGCGCTACACTTCCTGATTCTAAATGACGTCACACTTCAGCACTCTATAATGGCATTTACAATGCCTGTTTGTGTATCATTTTGTTTGTTCATGAAACAGTTGTTGAATCACCTCAGCCTGCGATTTCGAAATGATTTTTGCTCGACTTTCTTAGCAATCATGGCGCAACTGTAAAAACTCTGTCACCAGTACAATGGCAGTTCTTTTACTTCAAAGTGTCTTGTATCAACCATGACATCTGTGCAATAACAGGCTCCACGACGACCACGATTTGCTGGTAAAATAGGTAATTTTCAGTCGCTACGCCACAAGTTATGCCACCTTAAATTATTGCACAAGTAACGTCATAATGTGTTACGCTAGTTGCAGAATTACGCACTATGAAACTTTCGTGCAATTATCATAACTGAAAAGTTGAATAGCCTGAAATGTTGCACAACTTGCACAATAAATCATGGTGCGAGTGGACTTATGTCATTGCATGAGGTTTTGTGAATCAGCCGCATGTATCACTGGTTAACAAATTGTCCTCGATCCAAATCTCAACTATGACTATAAATAAAACTATTACCCCCTTCCGTGATGTATGACGACCGTTGACAGGTCATAGATGAAGTCTTCATTGGTCAGCCTGCTTTCGTCCTCTTTGCCTACGTAGCAGTATGGACGCATGTTCAGTTCCTCTTCAAAGTTCACATGGACGTTGATTTTCTCTCGATGGTTCCGACCACACCATCTTCAACGTAAACAAAATACACCCGATTCAGACTGGCAAATAATGTCAGGCAAAACAAAGTTATTGCAAATATTGGAGTTAATTAGTACACAAAAAGTTGAACACTTGAAAGGTCGACCAGAGTTGCTTCTGATGTTATTTGAAGTGAGTCATCTCTATAACGCTATAAAAATTCAGTTGCAAACAAAGTTAGTTGCAAATGAATGAAAGGTTTGCAGAAACACCATGTGCGAATAATTTCTCAACTAAGAGAATGGTTTTGAAAAGAACCAGAGGTACCTACCATAATACTGGTTCTTTTCCAAACCATTCTCTAAGTTGAGAAATTATTCCCACATGGTGTTTCTGCAAACCTTTCATTCAGTAGTATCTCCACCATGCAAAGCCTCATATCTTACTTAAATAGTTGCAAACGGAATTCTTGAGGCATGCGAGCTGCAATGCCTTTGGCACTTGTGGGGAAACCTTGATTTTTTTACAAGAAATAAAAGCAAATCGTTCATGCCTAATGCTTATTCTTTTGTTTTCTAAACCCATACTAGAGCTTGTGGTAGAGCACAGACACACACCTGAATCTTTTGAGGTGAAGACGGAGTACCAGTGGCAGTTTGGTTAGCAGTAGTCTCTTTGTAGCCTCTGTACGTATCTCTGGCTTGCAGGACGCATTGCGCCGTCGACTGTTGCAACGCTCGCAGGCATACACCTTCCCAAGGTGTTCCCGCTCTGTAAACTTGGCCAGCATTTCAGTCAGATGGCAGCTGGCTTCCGATAAACTGGTTCGCCACTCACTGAACTGATATCTGAATAGGAAGCAGTTAACACTGACGTTGAGTCCATCACAACGCAGAACTGTAAATCACCAATCAATTCACAAGTATCCCACGATAAATAGAAACAAAGGACCCATTCAGTTGTCACCACAACAGCAAACTGCAACAGTGGAATTTATTTATCTTTAGGCTTTTAGGTTTTATTTTTGATAAAAGTTTTGCTGAAATACTTATATGATAATGGATGGCTTTGAGGGGGATACGAGAATATATTGCACGAGCTTCAACATTCAACTTGTGCAATATTGATATAAGCGGTTGCAATATATTCTTGTATCCCCCAAAATAAACCATCCAATGTTATTATTATTTATATCAGACTTACTTGATCTGCAAAACATAAATTTCAGGACACTTTCTATTTTCCTCAAAATTATTGACTATTCTTTGCTTACCAAAGCAAATTTTGTGCCAATCGAAGCTGCCATTGTGGTTGACAAAAACATTGTGCGTATAGCCTGAGGCTCCGTGTACAAGTACACCTTCAACGGCCAACAAAGAGAGTTGGGAGAGACCTAGACTGGTTACCAGTCCATCCATTGCGGATTTCATATGTATCCATAGTTATAGTGGTGCAGGGATTAGTCTGGGAGACCATCGCAAGATCAATTCGAGGCCTGAAGCTCAGGTGACGACGCTTAGCTTTGGCACATTCAGGATACAATACGCAGTGTGTACTTCACACACAAGCCAGTACAGTACGCATACGCAGTGTGTCACGCAAGCCAGTACAGTACGCATACGCAGTGTGTCACGCAAGCCAGTACAGTACGCATACGCAGTGTGTCACGCAAGCCAGTACAGTACGCATACGCAGTGTGTCACGCAAGCCAGTACAGTACGCATAAGCAGTGTGTCACGCAAGCCAGTACAGTACGCATACGCAGTGTGTCACGCAAGCCAGTACAGTACGCATAAGCAGTGTGTCACGCAAGCCAGTACAGTACGCATACGCAGTGTGTCACGCAAGCCAGTACAGTACGCATACGCAGTGTGTCACGCAAGCCAGTACAGTACGCATACGCAGTGTGTCACGCAAGCCAGTACAGTACGCATAAGCAGTGTGTCACGCAAGCCAGTACAGTACGCATAAGCAGTGTGTCACGCAAGCCAGTACAGTACGCATACGCAGTGTGTCACGCAAGCCAGTACAGTACGCATACGCAGTGTGTCACGCAAGCCAGTACAGTACGCATACGCAGTGTGTCACGCAAGCCAGTACAGTACGCATAAGCAGTGTGTCACGCAAGCCAGTACAGTACGCATAAGCAGTGTGTCACGCAAGCCAGTACAGTACGCATACGCAGTGTGTCACGCAAGCCAGTACAGTACGCATACGCAGTGTGTCACGCAAGCCAGTACAGTACGCATAAGCAGTGTGTCACGTCCACAGGGCTCTAAAATTGGTTAAAAAACGCCCTCTTTTGTTGGTGCACGGAGCTCATACCCCAGTCCCTGCTCTATGCGTGTGCGACGGTATCGGGCGCTACGCTCTCTTGACTGGTTGGCAACTGTGAGTTTCTACGCTCTTGACTGTCCAGAAACCAGCGAAATTTGTTAAAGTGCCCGGATGAGGACATTACCAAAAATAATACTGTCCTTATCCAGGAGCTTTTACTGACATGCATGTAATATTGCAGTCATCCAGGTACTTTTTACGAAAGCATAAAATACACTGATTTATTTCTACTAATGAAAACCTGATATAAATAATACTGTTGCCTATTGTTTGCCGATGTCACTGGTGTTTTGTTAATGCTTACCTTTCAGGGAACTCTAATGACAAGTCTCCGAGCGGCTCAAACGTGTTGGATTTGTTCAAGCACTGTAGGCAGGTAACTTGGCTAACTAAACCTCCTTCAAAGCTTTGTCCAATGATGTCCTTTGTTGGAATGGACGTCCCACTGGCCATCTGTATGGAAGGTGCTGAGGACACATACTGAAGCTCATTGTGGATCTTGTCGAGGAACTCACTGACGGAGACAAATCAATGGCAAGCGCTTCATACAGAGTGACATTAAAGGGAATATACATCATTTGCTTTTGCTGTAAGTTTCAGAAATGGATGGAATTGGGGGGTTGGAAATATATAGCCAATATAGTTACACTGACTTTTTTGAGGTTTTGGGTTCGAAAATGCTATAAAAACCAAGAAAAACGATCATTTTCCTGTAGTCTGGTTCCCTGACTCCATATAAGAAAAAAACAGAGCAGTTTACATACATTGGGGAATTGTAAGGTCAGGGAACCAGTCTAGCTGCCTCGTACCCGTTCATAGGTTTGTAATCGATTGCAAACAAGTGCGATGGTCAATTGGGGCCAGTATTTGAAAAAAAAAGCCAGTTGTTTCCAACGCTGATCGGCCGATCAGCGTTGGAAATTGATACAAAAATACCACTTTTCTTGAAAATGACAGTATACCAGGTGCCATGATTTTACAGGATGCTTTACACTTTCATTCACCAACAGTCCAGCAAGGTATTTCAAAATGATTTGGTAGTTTTAATTTTTGATGTTTGCAAATGTTGTATTTTCCCTTTAATGATGGGATGGCCACAGTTATTTGAAGAAAACAGGTTTTTGAGATAAAGTGGTAATACCGGTAACTGCAATAATTTTATGCAGCAAGACACTACTTATGGTGCAACTTACCATAAGAACTCTTGCGCATCCTGTTGCGAGTAGCCTCTGAATGATGGGATGAGTCTCCAGACACTGCTCAGGATAGCGTGAGGAGACACAATGGCCCACTTCCCTGACCACATGACACGGTACAGGACATGTAGCTCATGGCATAGAGGACTGAAAGACAAAATAGAAGTTATTGAGTCGCCATATTGAGAGGCCCTGCTCAGGATAGCATGAGGAGACACAATGGCCCACTTCCCTGACCACATGACACGGTACAGGACATGTAGCTCATGGCATAGAGGACTGAAAGACAAAATAGAAGTTATTGAGTCGCCATATTGAGAGGCCCTGCTTAGGATAGCATGAGGAGACACAATGGCCCACTTCCCTGACCACATGACACGATACAGGACATGTAGCTCATGGCATAGAGGACTGAAAGGCAAAACAGAAGTTATTGAGTCGCCATATTGAGAGGCCCTGCTTAGGATAGCATGAGGAGACACAATGGCCCACTTCCCTGACCACATGACACGGTACAGGACATGTAGCTCATGGCATAGAGGACTGAAAGACAAAACAGAAGTTATTGAGTCGCCATATTGAGAGGCCCTGCTCAGGATAGCATGAGGAGACACAATGGCCCACTTCCCTGACCACATGACACGGTACAGGACATGTAGCTCATGGCATAGAGGACTGAAAGACAAAACAGAAGTTATTGAGTCGCCATATTGAGAGGCCCTGCTCAGGATAGCATGAGGAGACACAATGGCCCACTTCCCTGACCACATGACACGATACAGGACATGTAGCTCATGGCATAGAGGACTGAAAGGCAAAACAGAAGTTATTGAGTCACCATATTGAGAGGCCCTGCTTAGGATAGCATGAGGAGACACAATGGCCCACTTCCCTGACCACATGACACGGTACAGGACATGTAGCTCATGGCATAGAGGACTGAAAGACAAAACAGAAGTTATTGAGTCGCCATATTGAGAGGCCCTGCTTAGGATAGCATGAGGAGACACAATGGCCCACTTCCCTGACCACATGACACGATACAGGACATGTACAATGTAGCTCATGGCATAGAGGACTGAAAGACAAAACAGAAGTTATTGAGTCGCCATATTGAGAGGCCCTGCTCAGGATAGCGTGAGGAGACACAATGGCCCACTTCCCTGACCACATGACACGGTACAGGACATGTAGCTCATGGCATAGAGGACTGAAGGACAAACCAGAAGTTATTGAGTCGCCATATTGAGAGGCCCTGCTTAGGATAATGTGGGGAAACAGTGAGTAATAGGCAGGGCAGGTGGCGCTACAGTGAGTAAAGGCTTAACCCATTAACCTGAGCCACATTGTGCCGACTCCTCATCATGAGTCCATAAAACCACAGAGTGCTAGGGTAGTTTGGGGCAGTAACATGCACAACAATTAGTGCTGTTAGGAACAGAGGAATGATTAACTTTTGACGGACTTGTGATGGACTTGACAACTTCAATGAACTGAAAAAAAGTTAAACTATTGACACATTAGTATTGGAAACTGTAATATTTCTTGAACTTACAAATTATTCCTGACTGTTCTAGGGTCCTTGTACTTGGATGGGTCGACAGCTTCATCTGAACCCCCACTGAGACCCCCTGCAGAGGTTCCAGGCTGACGGAGGATACGACCTTTGGACTTCATGCCTCCCTTTGGTTTTTGCACTTCCTGAAAAAAAACCAAGGTTACAATATCAAGATAAAAACTTTACTATTAATTATGATTTACACAATCCAATCAAAAGTTACAGATAAGAAATGTACAAAAAAAGCGCTACAATGAGCGATCTCAATAAAGTTACACACGGTCCAAAATCGACAGACTTTACAAACGCCACATAACTTTTGCATCGAAAATATGGAAAATATACTAATGTTGCATGTTCTGTCTAAAACAAGCTTAGCCGGTCGACACTGCTGCTGTTTGCAAACCAGCCACTACCCCGGAAAGTTTGGTGGTCAAGTGTAGCCATCTGCACGCTTAAGGAGGTCACTGATAATGTTCACATAAAGTAAATGAAAAATATTAAATAAAACTCAACCTCAAAGCATTCCATGGTAGTCTGTCTCATGTACTCCATCTGCCTCCTAGTCCCCACTGATTGGCTCAAGTTTAATTGAGGTCGAAGGTTAAGTTCCAAGTGCAAAAAGCATTCCCTGAACTGCTGCAAATGCCTGCATTAAAAAAGGTGGGAAAAAGACACATTGAGAGAAGAACTTGTTTACCATTTCTAGTGGGAGTGTAGGAGTGTAGCCTAGTGGAGGGTGTGGCCTAGTGGTCAGGGCTTGTGACGCGTGATCAGAGAGTCAGGGGCTCAAATCCAGCTGCTGACCATTTTGTGTGTCCTTGGGCAAGCCAGTTTACCCAACTTGCCTCTACACCCAGGAGTATAAATGGATAATGGCATTAGCTGGGGAGTAATCTATCTGCTATGGACTGGCATCCCTTGCAGAGGGAATTACATAGTCTCAGTCATTTCATGCCAAGGAAACCGGGCATAAACGCCAGCCAGTTGATGAGACCATTACCCATTTTGGCACTAAATAGAATTTTAGAAACATTCCAGGGCAATGTTTGCTTGACCCTGAAGGCTAGACTATTGTTGTCATGCTGATCCATTGACTGGCTGTCTTAAAGTTACTGAGTCACTGAATATATATAACGTCCTCATCTGAGACGCTTCAGTCTAGCTTTACTAAAGATCCATAGCCTTGATGCTATATCGTTCTGCAGTTTGTGATGCACTTTCCCGCAGAAAGAATAAAACTCTGCCCGAACACTCACCCTAATACTTGAAGAATGGAATTCATGTAACATGTGTTGCCTAGGTTACGCAGGCCGGTCACGCCAGGGGTCAATGCTGTCCATTTCCTCTTGACCTCCTGTGACCTCAGGTCATCCAGCCTCCTCCTCTTTAGGCTTGACTCCGCCTCCTTCAGATCCCTGGGTGTGTCTTTGGCAGTCTTGGTGGTCAGAGTCCGTTTCTGAGGTTTGGGTTTTGGTTTTTTTCCTGTGACCTTATTGCCATGGACGAGATGTTTCCACGGCAGGAAGACGTAACTAAGGAGGACAAGGCGTCGATGGACGAGGGCAGTGTGACCTTTATCCTCCCAGGTCAGGCTCTCTTGTCGTCTGCAAAGGGAAACAAATCTGTGTATTACAAAATGAATGTGAATGTTGACAAGACTAAAAACACGCCATGTTTCTGGTAACCTAACCAACCCTAATTTAATGTGTGGAGGGCATTAGCTGAGGCTCCTAGTATTTGAAGTTCAAAACCCTTACAATTTTGCCAGAGCAATTCTGCCCATAGAGCTAAATAGCACCCACATTACAAAATGTTTTAGAGTAAGTTTCTGTGGGGTATGGAAACACTTAAAAACCCTCCATAATTCTTTACTGTTGTTAAGCTCAGGGCAAGTAGTGGATTCTGTCATGCTTCACTGCTCTCCCAGTGCTATGCATTGTGCAGTAATGGTCTGTATTGCAAAGTTCATAAACACTTCAGCACCCTTCACCTGAAGGATTTTAAAAGGCTTAACATGTACGTACTGCACCAAACATTGTTTTCAAATACATGTAGGTGTAAATTAACCTCTCTGGATTCAGCTATAAGCCCTACGTTTAGTTTGTGTACATTTCTCACAGTGCTTGTAACCTAGTTTGACTGAGCTATTGTGGTCAGCTGAACAAAACTCAAGATCTTATTGGCCACTTGCGCACTCTATAATTGACGGGCAGGAACGGTTCATTCCTAGGTAACTGTCAAATATTACACTTTGAAAGCAAAGAATGTTCATACCTGTGTTTGATCTGTTCTCCAGTGTCAACGGAGAGCGCCCTCAAGAGCCGACGGCCACTCCTCGTCTGACTCTCATACAGCGTTTGTTTAGTGATTGCATCCAAGGTTGTCCGCAGTAGTTTCAGATCGCCAGGGGCGTTGTCATTCAGAATGTAGTCATCACATTCATAACTACAATAAATAACATTGAAATCCACATTCAAAATAATCAGAAATGATGTGCATTTTTTTCCAATATCAACATAGTATTATTTTGTTTTTGTGTGTTGAGCATTTATGAGTTTGTAGCCTGATACCTTGCCGATGTTTTTACACAAATTTTGCATTAAAGGTAGAGATCATATTGTAGCTATCCAAAAAAATAAACTCCCTGTGAGTTTATTCTTTTGCATGCTGTCATTTTGAAGAAAACGATAAAAGAAGGCCATTTACAAAGATGCATCAAGTGATGCATTTTTGGAAATGTCTGTTAGTAGTTGGTTTGTAATTGGGCAAGCGTTGACACGTGTGCGTCGTGCACGCAGTTGATATTTTTCATCAGTTCAGTGCGTGACATCGCCTAGCTGCAATCAGCTAACGAGAGTGTGCCCTGAATGATGATTTCAGGCACAATTCAAAACATGAAAAACAACACAAACTTTTGAATTCAAACCAAGATCCCAGAATATTGTTTTCTCGGAATATACAGCATTCCAAAGCTAAAACTTCATCATATTAGTTGTTGAGCACCCGTCCTTAGATTTTGAGCACTTTATTTGCTTTACACAAACAAATGCACAAGTTACAAATGATCTATCCTACCTTTCAATGTCCAATTCTCAATGTGGGTGAGCAAAAATCTTGTTAATTACAAAAAAAACTATGGTACATTTGACGACATTTATAAAAAATCTGGTTAAAAGCGGGCTGGTTTAGCTACTTCACTTCGCTTCACATTTGCAGGTAGCTAAAACAGCCAACATCTCTGAACCATTTTATATACTATCACCCCCTCTCTTACCAAAACACATATCTGTCGTTGACCTCTATGGCGAGTGGATGTTTAGATTCCTGGAAATGTTTAACAGCATGTTCTTCATTGTAGCGACCACAAGCTACATTGGTGCAGCTCAAGCAAGCCTACAAAAAGAAAATAATACAATAGGTTTGATACGGACTACTTGCATATGAATGCCCTTATTGTTAGTGTTATGTACAATTAGACATATTTAAAGGGAAAATACAACATTTGCAAACATCAAAAAATAAAACTACCAAATCATTTTGAAATACCTTGCTGGACTGTTAGTGAATGACAGTGTAAAGCATCCTGTAAAATCATGGCACCTGGTATACTGTCATTTTCAAGAAAAGTGGTATTTTTGTATCAATTTCCAACGCTGGTCGGCCGACCAGCGTTGGAAAAAAACTGGCTTTTTTTCAAATACTGGCCCCAATTGACCATCGCACTTGTTTGCAATCGATTACACACCTATGAACGGGTACAAGCCAGCTAGACTGGTTCCCTGACCTTACAATTCCCCAATTTTGTAAACTGCTCTGTTTCTTCTTATATGGAGTCAGGGAACCAGACTACAGGAAAATGATTGTTTTTCTTGGTTTTTATAGCATTTTCGAACACAAAACCTCAAAAAAGTCAGTGTAACTATATTTGCTATATATTTCCAACCCCCCAATTCCATCCATTTCTGAAAATTACAGCAAAAGCAAATGATGTATATTCCCTTTAAGTGCCCACTCACTCAGTAACGGGAGATAGGTTTGACTGGAACACATCTGACATGCAAAGATATACGCTTTGAAATAAATAAATGTTGGTACATGCACACACACAGGTGTGATCTGTCCTTTCTATTGAGTTGTCACAAATCGCCATCCAATGTTTCTAATTAATAGAGTCCAATTTTAAATAGAAGAGTAAATTTCTGGACCTGTTCACCTTCCACTTACCCAAACACTCTCTGTAGTACCACACACCTTGCACAACCATTTCTGTGGGTTGAACACGGAGTGATTGTGCGTCACTTGTAGTTTCTTGATGTGGACGCACTTGTCCATGACCTCTGACCTTTCTTGTACTCCAGTTTAATACTGTTGAGTGTGCAAAGGTTGATATTCGCAGTACACCCTGTTAAAAACACACAAAAAAGTGTTATTTTCCGTTAAAACATCGTTGATCTTGATAAACTAGGGTGCTACAGTTTTATTTAACAAAATCAGGAAGAGTGCTTGAGGTACAAGTAATTTTGGAATAAAAACATCTTTTTATACTTGAGGGGTCCTATTAGTCAGTGTTAGTATAACTGTAGGGGGCCTACTTTTAACTGACATGCGTCTTTACCATTCTAGGCATTAGAAATTAAAAAAGGGCAACCAGGATACCAGTTACTGCATTTTTTAAATGTTAGTATTAACACCAGGCCTGGGTCTAACTGTTAGATCATGTTACTTCAAGTAACTAAAATAGCCTTAGCTACATGTAGTACAGCAGGCCTTTATAGTGATAATATATATGCCTACATGTGCAAATGACAATGTACGCACAATGCGCAGTGTAAAACTTAAAGATAATGTACATGTACACTATGACATTTGCAAACATCAAACGGGTGAGTAGTGTTCTTATTATAGCAAATATTGTTACACTGACGGGTTTGAAGTTTTGTGTTTGTAGATGCTGGAAAAACCAAGAAAAACAATCATTGTTCCTGTAGTCTGGTCTCCCTGACCCGACTTAAGTTAAGATGGAACAGAGCAATTTATAGATGTCAGGGCATTGTAAGGTCAGGGAACCAGTCTTGCTGGCTTGTACCCAGGATTGGCATGTAATCAATTGCAAACAAAATGTGAATTATCTAAATATGGTAAATTAGGGGCAGTATTTGAAGGGAAAAAAACAACATTTTTTTTTCCAACGCTAGTACTTGGTAGGCTGACCAGCGCTCAACGCTGGAAAAGACTTTACCACTTTTATGATTTCACAGGGCAGGGACATTGAACACTGCACTGTCCAGTAAATACTAGTAGGATGGAACGCCGTATTATCGCGGTACTTATCACGTTTCTCGTTCGGAATAGAGATTGCCCACTAACCTTCCAGAATTGTCCTGTCTTATGTGTAGTATAACTCTTCCTTTTTAAATTAATATAAAAAAATCTGACGGGTAGTGTGGTTTATTCCGTGTACGATGCCTGTGAAAATAGACATGCGCGGCGTGTGCGAATGGAGGTGGACTCCCTATTATCGCGGTATGCGGGAAGTGGTTTTTATAATGATCCCAACTTTTTTGTTCATAATTTATCTTTGACCAAAACACCCCCTGAATAAAGTCTGAAATTTTCCCTGTAACTTTCAAGTTGATTAAAGACAAAATGTCTGCAGGATGATTTCTTAAGACCCTGCCCTTCCCCCGAAAGGAGAACACAAATCCCTGAGGCAAGTCTACTGATCGGCGATTGAGGGCGCCATTCACTTTACACGGTGTGCCATTTTATTTTCGCTAACGCGCCGTACTTATTTTGATCCCGTAAAAGTTGTTACGATTTCGCGCTGCAAATATCATCGTTCGACTTCATTTTTCATTTGCAGCTGAAGAATGGGAACCAGACAATGGAACTTTCATGGACAGAGCGCAATTAAAGATTTATGTTTAAATATAAACGGCACCTTTTAGCAGACACGGTGAGGGAAAATTTGCAAGTTTTGGAAAACGTTAATATTTATTAAAATCGTTAAAAGTCCCGAAAGACACAACATTTTTTAATCGTCCTTTTTATACAACTCGGTAGAAAATCCTTGATGACTGGTGAACTGGATAAAAATCACCACTTGAAGGAGTTTTGACACTGTAAAAAGAGAAATTTCCCATGCCGCGATAATAAGGATGCCGCGATAATAGGGAGTCCGACTATACTACTAGTAGGGCGGTATTTCATTTGTAATTTTGATTTTTCCCTTTAATCAGTCTATAGATTAGAATAGAGGAAGGAACAGTTACAGAGTCATGTCACCTACATGTAGGTCCTAGCTCTATGGTTCTACATGTACATGTAGGCCTACGTCTAAATCTTCTTCCCTTGTCATAGCACTGGTCAGTGCATGGAGGTCACTCACTATCAGTATCACTCAGTCATGACAAGTGTCACCTGGTACAGTGGTAGTGGTACTGTGGTCATGGTGGTAGGCCTAGTTAATTATTTAACGTTGTCGTTATCGTTCTCCAAACGAATTGAACAACGACGACATCACTGTGCATTCTTCCATATCCACTTAACTTACACTTGGGTTGGATGTTGCCTTCTTGTAACGACAATCCCCGGCTGTTTAATGAAGAAATATCGATACATACAACATGTACAAGAAAGTGTACAAAATCCTTCCACCTGCGCTGCCGCATCGGCCCAATTACGAACTGGGCTATTATCAGTAGATAATATACGACGGCCGATACACGCCACATTACTTCTGCTATCTAATTAAAATGGAGGATTAAAAAAACCCGCTGAAGTCAAAGTAACTGATTGGTTTCTCAAGATCACGCGTATTTATTGGGGGGGGGGGGGGGAGACAGCTGTTTCATTTCGGATTACAAATTAATTGGATAGTTTCGTGCATGTAAATATACGACCGATTCAACATACAGTGGCTGTGCGCCACCATGCCACCAAGCGTTTCTTCCCTCGACGGGATCCCCCAAGGCCAGGGCGGATCCATGATCAAGAACACAATTTTTTGGAGGGCAAAAACAATTGGGTCCTCCAAAAGTGGGTTCCAACCATTACGGCGCCGTGGGGTTCGGGGCACGTTGAAGGGCCGGAACAGTGCCCCCCCCCCACGCCCCCCCCCCGAAACCTTGTCGCCCCCCCCCCCCCAGTCGCCCCCCCCCCCCCACTGAGATTTTGAGTTTCTAAAAAAATTATCATTGATCTACATGACGCCCCCCCCCATGAAATGTTCCAGCCCCCCCCCCCAGCCCCCCCCCAGCCCCCCCCCCCCCCCCCCCCCCCCCCCCCCCCCCCCCCCCCCCCACTGAAAAATTCCTGGCTACGCCACTGGCCCGGAACAAAAAATGGATTCTAGATGCTGTGGTGTGATCTGAGGCAATTTCTGACCATAACCCTACCTGTGAATGGCAGGAATCCTCGCGCACATGGTTTTCTGTCATTTTTTAAAAAGTGGAATTTCTTTACTTTGTCATTTGAAGAAAAAAAATCACAATCTTGAGTAGCTGCATTAAGTATTAGTTCAATTGATGTTATACATTTTGATTGAATAAAAATTTTTTGCCTGGAAAATGTAACTCCGTTCTTCTTCCGATTCTGAAGATACCGTTTCATATTGTTTGAATTGCACAATTAAAGGGAAAATACAACATTTGCAAACATCAAAAAATAAAACTACCAAATCATTTTGAAATACCTTGCTGGACTGTTAGTGAATGACAGTGTAAAGCATCATGGCGCCTGGTATACTGTCATTTTCAAGAAAAGTGGTATTTTTGTATCAATTTCCAACGCTGATCGGCCGATCAGCGTTGGAAAAAAATGGCTTTTTTTCAAATACTGGCCCCAGTTGACCATCGCACTTGTTTGCAATCGATTACACACCTATGAACGGGTACAAGCCAGCTAGACTGGTTCCCTGACCTAACAATTCCCCAATGTATGTAAACTGCTCTGTTTCTTCTTAAATGGAGTCAGGGAACCAGACTACAGGAAAATGATTGTTTTTCTTGGTTTTTATAGCATTTTTAACCCAAAACCTCAAAAAAGTCAGTGTAACTATATTTGCTATATATTTCCAACCCCCCAATTCCATCCATTTCTGAAAATTACAGCAAAAGCAAATGATGTATACTCCCTTTAAATTTGTCCTAACATTTGAACTGTTGTGCAATACCTTCATAACACTGATTTCTGACGATTTCAAACTATTCTGTAAGCTATTTTTCATTGTTAAGTAAGACATACCGACGATTCTCTCCATCAATAAATGAGAAATTTTTAATTTGGACTGTTATAAGTCACCATGTAGCACAGTTTTCCATATTTGCGGCGAAATTGCAGTAGTCTCTGTTCCAACTGGCGGATATGCCACAATGCCGTCTCTATTTGGAAGGTAATACAAACACCCCAATCGTCACTAATAATTTGCAAAGATCATCATATCATGAGAGGATTAAAGTCCGCGTCTCGTTCAAGTTCGATGCAGTTGTTAAACTGTGATCGTTTACGTATAGTTTCCAAATATGACTTTAAGCCATAAATCTTGTCTTTGCAAAATAGTGGTGACGTCAATTCAATTATACTCACTGACGTCAATGGATCCCTCGTGGCTGTTACAGCGCACATTTTGATCAGCCTCAGGTGACCAAGATTGTAGGTCAAACTCTGTCACAAAGCACTGTGAGATAGGCGTATACGACCAAAGACAATTAAGCGGGGTTTATGTGGTCAAACTTGGACCAGTACGTGAGCTGAATGAATCTAAATTGCACGACTATTTTTGGAGTAATTTTTGTGTGAAAGATCAAGAAAGTGAGACTATTTTGGCAAAGTTAGTCGTGCCCAGCGCGCATGACGTCGCAATTATTTTTGAAAAAGGAAAATGAAACTATATAAGGCATTTTTGGTGAGCTGCCCATCACCACCAGATCGATTTAACGTCATTGATAATAGACACGTACGTTTACTCTGGCAATCCAATTTCCTCATTCACAATTAAATCAAAAGAAGTCCGAGAAAGATCGTTTAAGTGAAGTTATCGTTGTTTAATTAATTTTGCCTATTAAAAATCGTGGTTTTTTTCCAAAAGTTCTTTTTCATTATAATTTCATTTCTTGGGATGTTTTTCTTCATGTTTTCATGTTAATATCATGTTTGTTAATGTATACATATTATGTTTGTTTATGTGTTTGATCCGTTTGGTAATTTGTTAACATTATTGAGGTAGCCGGCTTTTTCAAAATGTGGAATATAAACCAAAAGAAGAAGACTTAAAATTTGAACAGAATAACTGAATTTACAATGTCACGCGTTATTGTGCCTTTATACGCCACGTGAACTTCAGGCGAATTTGAATACTGTCGTTGCTTTCTTTGCACAGTTTTAATGTAGATAAAAGGATTTGTTTTGACCGTAAACTAATAAGCCTATCACCGTACCTACCCTCCCCCCCCCCCCCCCCCACACACCCACACACCCACACAGTTACTCGAATGACCAGTGACCTTTAACCGTTCGTAAAATTGGAAGCAAATAATTCTTTCGCAATAAATGTGTAAACGTCAGTCAATGCAAATACTATTACATATGATATCAGCAGCTGTCCACGTTTTGTGCAATATGTGCATGTGACTCTAAATAGTGCTTCAAAGCACATGTGACGCAGTCATCGTGTTCGAACTACAAGAATATCAGTCAGGTTTTGAGTCAGAGGAGTTCATTATACACGCAAGGCCAGTTACCACCAGACCTGATTCGTCAAACGAAGAAACTCTCAACATTCATCATGAACTTCTCCTGTTTGGTTTTCTTACTAGTGGCATACTCGGGTAAGTTATGATTACATTTTTATACTTGAAGTTGTAACTAACTAATAAATAAACTGGTACTGAAATCATGTTTAGATAACCGAAACGTTTGGAGTAAATACTGTTCGACCTTTGGATAACATATCACTTCTAATGCTGGTCACCCTGTTCCTATGCAAATCTGAAACTGTTACGATTTTATAGACCTTTAGTTACTACTTAAATTTGGGGAAATATATGTATAGGCCTACCAACATGAATAACGCATTGCCTGCTTGTTGAAGCTCATGTTTGACATTCATCAAACACGTGCACACAATACTCGAAGTGTTTCCAGAAAAATAATATACGCATGTCTGTTACAGTCGAACATCGTTGTTTAAAAAACTTCTTCGTGCAAATTCATAACTTTCCAATTTTAGGCCTAATTTAGTTCGTATTTAATGTCTTAGCACTTACATGTATACACTCATATGCTGTTGTGATCTTCTGTCCTGTCTGTTTCATTGTCTGTCCCTAGGTTAGGGCACAAACTCATTTCTGCTGCACCCAAACTATGTTGTCATGTGTGTGATAATTTGATAATAATTAAGGCCTGTAATACTGTTTTACAACTTATTGTTAACACAAACATATATATACTTGAAACCAAATCAATCAACAATGAAACATAACTTGAGGCCTATACCTTGTCTCGAACAAGCAGTTTTAAAACAATTTCCTGGACTCTGGAAAATTCTCCGTTGTTTTGAAAACCGCTCTTTAAAAACCATTTTCGGGGGAAAAATGTTTGAAATATCCACGTTTTTCTCAAAGTGCTGTTCACAAAAATGCGCCATAAACACCTTTTCCCTGAAGAAAATGAACCCACCCAACATTTCGCATAAAATGATGAATGGCTGTTAACTCTAAGTAATTCCCTTAATAAAGTTCTTATAGGGTACTTTTGACCATGCACGTTGATCATATTTGTACTCATTGCAAGCACTAACAAATTGCAATGCCCGGGAAAAAAACGTCGCTATATTCATTATACGGTTATGCCGGAATTCATTGTCAATAGTGTTCATATTATTTCAATGCCCACATGGCTTGCAATACAACTAGCCTTATATACAAGACAAGGGGTAAGAGATCATACTCTCAGTACTGTACGCATGGGCGTCGCCAGGATTTTTTCTAGAGGGGGGCAAAACATTTTTTTGCCAAAAAAGGCTTGTATTTCTCAACACATTCTCGATTTATCAGTTTTAGAGGGGGGCAGGGACATTCCCCCCCCCCAACTCATTAAATTTACACCACTTTGTCTTCGCGACTCTTTTTCTTTTCTTTTCTTTCTTCCTTTTTTCTTCCTTTTTTTTTTTTTTTTTTTTTTTTTTTTGCTTTTCCGGGGGGGGGGGGGGGCAAGTGCCCCCCCTTGCACCCCCCCCCCTCGCGACGCCCATGACTGTACGACACCACTGCAAAGTCGCCCAAGGCACCCGAGCCCCAATTGCACACTACACAGTGAACATGTACACGATCATGCATGTTAATTGTTACCACATAAACCGCCCTTTGACAGCTTATATTGCTGCATCAAATATACAAGCGCCATTTCTCACAAACTTTGACCGCAATAGCTCAAAATAAATACTATGACAGCGGTGCACTGTGTACTTACATTCGCTCTAACATGAATATCAGATTGACCTTGCCTTCTGAGGATGACAGAGTTCGTTGAACTTTGGAGTTTGGACGGACATTTGGTTGCTACTTGTTTAATGTGCAAATGGCGTTGAATATTTAATGCGCACATGCTACCTCCGATTTTTATGAAATTGGTGTTTCAAAACATTCGCATGACATCAGTCTGCAAATTCCAGAGACTCTGTACGTG